CAGAAAAAAACCCAGGCAAAAAAAGAAACACAACAACAACAACAACAACAACAACAACAACAACAACAACAACAACAACAACAACAACAACAACAACAACAACAACAACATAAAAAACAATACCCCCCCCAAAAAAAAACACCAAAAAAAACAACAACAACACCCAAACAAAACCAAAAAAAGTACTACATGTACTTCTTAATTGTGTAACAATAGCCCTTTAAGTCTTTGTGCTTTCTCTTTTATATGTCTGGTTTTTCTCTGTCGACGTTGAGTGTCCTGGCAACAGTCGAAACGCACGGACAATGTCGATGGTTCGATTCCTCTGATGTTGAGTTTAGTCTAAACCTATCATCTTTCTCGGGTGACGATGATCAAAATAATATTACGTTATTGCGACTTTTGATAAACTTCACGAAAAGAAAACTTAGAATAGAGAAGGACCCGCCACATAGTTGGAAACAAATATGACATTTGTTTTCTTCTTTTTTTAAAAAAAAGTGGGTGCTGTGAACACTAACTTAAACACCATGATAATAGGCCTACTGTTTTTATAACCTGACCTACTTCAAACAGTACTTAGTACTACTACTCACATGAAAGGAAAGTTGTAGACTCAAACGACTAGATTAAAAAGTGGTACTTTTTTCTCTTTCTTTTTGATCGTCAGTGTACTCGCGCATAAAATTTGTTGGCTTTTCTTTAGTACATGTATATATATTTAGTGACATTATTCATAACAATTGTCTTATCGTTATTGATATTGAGTGTGCTAGAAACTTTGATAAATTAAGTATTATAGCAATGGTGTGATGATTGCTGCATACGAGTATATGATAATATGTATTTTTGCCACCGCCTGTACATCTCCTTTTTGTTCTTCTCCTCCATGTCCTTTCCAATTTCCTCTCTCGCCTTCCCCTTTCTCTCTTCCCCTTCCTCTCCCTTCCTCTACCCCACCCTTTCCTCCTTCCTCTCTCCCCTCCCCCTCCCCCCTTTCCGCTCTCTCCCTTCCTCTCCCCGCTTCCTCCCCCTTCCCTTCTCTCCTTTCTCTCTTCCCTACATCTCTCAGCCCTTTTCCTCTCCCCCCAATCCTTCCTCTTTCTCTCTTCCCCTTCCTCTCCCTTCCTCTATCCCTTCCTTTCCCCTTCCCCTCTCCTCCTCCCAACCCCTTCTTCCCTTCCTCTCACCCCATTTTTCCTCTCTCCTTCTTCCTCTCTCCTCCTTTCTTTACCCCCTCTCCCTTCCTCCCCCTTCCTCCACCTTCCTCTTCTCTTCCCCCTCC